AGGCGGCGGCCATGGAGGACGACGCGCCCGTGATCTACGGGCTCGAGTTCCAGGTGGGCGCCGGGTGCCGCCGTCCCCCGGGCGCGCGAGGAGGGGGGGCCCAGGGCTGCTCCCGGCCGGTTTCGGTTTCCCTGGGTCTTGGTGCTTGCGGTTGTCCCTGACTGCAGGTTCCCAGGCTTGGGCTCGTCCCTCGGGAAGAGCCGCCCCGGGGGCTGGAGGCGCCGCCGCCGCCTGCTCGGGCGGTCGCTGATTCTCCGTGTAGAGCCGCTGCGAATAGAGGAGAGCAGCTGTGTGGGGAGCACCTGGAGCGAACTGGGAGAAGGAGCAGCTAAAGGGCGGTATCCCCGCGAGAGATCCCAGGATGCGGTGCCTTCCTGCTGGAAGCTCCCACTTGGCTCCATGCCCCGGCTGGCAGGGGTGTCTCGCGTTGCAGGGCATGGAGTTATTTAAGTAATGGCGTGTCTGTGTCCGGCTGTTTCCTGTAGGCGCCTGTGCCAAGGGGCCCCGAAGATGTCCTGGCAACCAGGGAAGCTCTTGGGTGGGTTTTGACTTCCTGCTCCCGTGCCCCCTCTCCGGGGTTACCTGCCCTGTGGTCCTCTGTCAGTGCAGCTCTGCAGTGTCATACAGTTTTGTTTGCTATTTCTGTATTAGCTCGTGTTAGAAGTGACCCTTGCCATATGTTAGACCTGCTGCGGTCTGACTATCTGGTATCATTTTGTGTGTCGTGAAAAATGGCTGCAACTCTCACTTCAAAATTAGCAATTAGCTTAAACTTATGCTTAGTTTTCTTATTCACCCTGAGCGGAATATATCTCGCATTTTAAAGAAAAGCATGGTTTCTTTATTGTATAAAATAAGTCTCCCAAAATCTTAGCAAGACCTTTGCCTGGGACCCCAATGGTCCTGCCAAAACAAACTACAACAAACACAAGAAAACCCCACGTAGCCCCCGTGGGCCTCATCTCTCTTCAGAATGTGTAGCAGGGCTGTCTGGTGGGAAGGTGGAGCAAAAGGGCTAAGAGGGATCCAAAAAAATGCAGTGAATGCCTTTGGAAAGGAGAGGGAAGGATGGCTTTATGGCTAAGGCAGAAGTGGAGCATGGAGATGAAGGCTCCACTTTTGGTGTCCATCAGCTGCTGATGTAGCCTTAAAGCAAATTACATCACTGTGCCCTCTGGGAATCATCCTAAGGAAGAGGCTTGAGCCTAAAACCTATATGCCTTTTATAACTTGTATCACCAGGTCTAATAAAATATATTATTATGTTTCTCAGCCTAGTTTTGTAATGGCTCTGTCATCACAAAAGCTTACAGTTCTCTCTAGCATGCATCAGAAACACTTTACTGAGGGCTGCCTGTCTTCAGTTTGATGTATGTACTTAAGTGCAGTTGAAATAATATATTTTTCTTGCTTATGTTTGGCTCATTCAATTATTTCCAGACTTTACTTCAAAGCTTAGAGCTTTATTTGTTCAAAAATGAGATTAAGTGATGGAGCATATAAAAAGAAGAAAAAGATTGGGGTGGGGATCTTGTTTTCATCTTTCTTGATACAAATAAAAATTATATGTCATAAAATTGTGAAATCTATAAGCTATGCAATTGGTTGCAGACTACAGAACCAGACTCAGCTCCAGAGTTGGTAAGAATTGGCTTTTGGCTGCTGTCACAAGTCAATGTGCCCGTCTGGGATGTGCCTTTCATGTGATCTGGTGTACTCTGGCTTTAAAAGGTAACAACCTAAGCCAAGATTGCATCTGGGCTGCTCCACTGGTGAACTTCATTGGAGGTTAAACTTGCATAAAAAGACACTTTCATTACTCTGATGTATAAATCCTGAGCCCTACATTTGTTTAACTAGTTAGTTTACATAACTACTTAGCAAAAGGTTTTACCAAATAACAGGAAGAAGCAACTTTTCTTCAGAGGGGAAAAACAGCTAGTGGCAAGAAAATTTTAAAACTGATTATTAACTCAGATTTCTTAATTAGTTATTTTTTGACCTGCTTTCTACTCTTCTCCCCCTTGTTTTGTCAAATGACTGCAGCTTTTTCTATTTATGCTGTTCATAATACTCATCATTCCATTATAATGTGCAAAATGTAGTTTTTCCAAGTGTTTTTATGTCTCTCCAGCGTCTCAATACGCAATGCGAATGTTATGCTGATGCACATAAATTATGTGAACTTCAGGATGTGTTATTCTTTGGTGTATTTTAAAACTTGGAGCAAGTGTAGTGAAAATGAGATGACTGTGGAGTAACAGATGTGCGAGATGCTGGGTCTGATGAGAGGGCTGAATGATCAGACCGTGGATCTCAATGACAAATACGGGGCAGGTGACAGCAGCAGCTGCAGAACACGGTAGTACAGAGGGGTGGTACCTTTTGACAGGACCTGTTACCAGTTCCCTGGATATGAGACTGTAGGGAGCATGGTCTCGGGGCTGTGGTTGAGCACTACTGTTCACCAGTGAAACTCTCTGGCTCTTGCCTCTCCTTTGTAGAGCTGGCCTGTATCTACTGCCTCACCTGGAGGATGCAGAGCACTTATCCTGCGTTTAGCAGGCTGCATTTTCAGGTGTATTTATTTCCTCTCCTCCCTTCTATTATTTGAGTACATGAAGGAGGCTCTTTCAGGGAGTATACAAGCGTGGCTGCACCTCTGTGCTGCCCTGGCTTTGGCTGGCTGCCTGTTTGTGCCCTTGGAATTGAGCTCCACGGAGGGATACTTTCCCTGATGGGCATTTGGCATCGCTATGGTGCCAACGGCGAGTCCAAGTGTCTAAAGATTCCAGGTGTCTAAAAGCGCGTGGCAGCCAGCAAGCAACTGAGCTGAGCTGGGGAAAAACTACCCCTGCCCGTGAGAGAGAATTCTGAGCTTGTGTTTGGAGCATTTGAGGGGCTTGGGAGATACGACGAGACTAGGCTGAATTTCAGTGTAACAGACACTCCTGTTGCAGGTTGTGCACTTTTTTAAAAGGCAAGCGCTTACAAAGTCAAGATGCAAAGCTGGTAGGAAGCGTGTTAGGTGGATGCAGAGCTGGGGTACCCCATCATCATGGGGACACTTCGAGAACGTTCCTGAGAAGCAGTCTGACTGAGAGAGGCTGATTCCCTACTACGGTCTGTGTGGTGTGTTGGGCTCCAAAAGGCTTGCATAAGCTGTGCTTGGACCATATTGTAATTTTTAGTTAGTTGTGAGCAGGTTTTATGAAGACGACCAGGAACTACTGATTTGGAGTTTTTGTGCCTGTTTGCAAAGGCAGGGTGAGGCTTGATTTCCATAAGGGAAAATATCACTTTTGGGAACAAAAATCTTAAAGGAGTGCAAAGTACTGACTGCAAATGGATTCGTTACAAGCCTGGTACGGTGTGCAGATATGTGAAAAAATTACAATATTGAGAGTGATTCAACTGATTTGGTTTGATCAAATGGAATAAAGTTGTTAGAGTGAGATTTTCCTGGTGAAAGGAAATTTTCAGGACGGTGCAGGTCCGTGGTGCAGTTACCTGTGCTCCAGGGTGCTCGGTAGCCTCGTGCCTCTCCTAGCGCGGGGACCTGGAGGTTGTGGCACCTGCAGGTGCTGGAGTTCTCTTCACCCCCAAGAAAATCTCTCTGGTATCTATTATTTATTTACTTACTTTGGGGATGTAGCTTTAGAGCGGTCTTTGGAGAATATATTTTGGATATTCTAAGTCAAGAAATCTCATGCTAATGTCTTATTCCAACTGCTGATGTCCATTTCGGTCCTCCTTCCTTCCTAAGATTGCTTTCTCATGAGTGCTAGTCCAGGACATTTTAATCCAGTATTCTCTCATTTGTTTTTCCATCTACCTTACTCTCCATGTGCCTTTGAGGGCAGCATTTCAGCTGGGAGGACTTCTTGTAAGATGTAAATTAAATGTATTATTAGATTTGAAGACTTACCAGAGGAAGAAAAAAGGTAGATAAATGACACAACTCTTAAGCAATCCCCCAAAGATCTTCATAATGATTGAAATGATTTGAGCTATTTATTTTAGGACCCCCAAGCCATTATCAGGATCCTTGATATTGGGTGTGGTACTTAAGATATGTTAACGATATGAAGGTATAGTTGTGGGATATTGGAAAAAAAGCTATTAAAAGATTATTATTGCTGTTGTGTGTCATTTAAAAACAGTGACACGTGCAGTGTGGAAGTGGGGTTGCTAAGGCTGCTTGTGCTGTGCAGGGTTTTGTGTGAAGGTTGTGCTTGTAGCTGTAAGGGTTTGGGTGGAATTTGCTGGCCCTTGGAGCAGGGCAGTGCAGCGGATATCTTGGTGGTGGGAATTCTGTGCTGTGGAAGCCTTGGAGGGAGCAGCTCTGTGAAGCACTGCAGGCCACCTGGCCATGAGAGCTGCCTCCCCTTCTGTGGTAGAGTCATTGCAGCTTGGGAGGGTCTCCTGCTGGAGTGGGAGAAACAAGGCTCTCTGGCATAAGTAAAGATCAAAGGGTGCCTGCCTGGAAATTGGAATTATGCCAGAAGGTAAAAGTCAAATTCCTGACGCGATCAGCTGGAGCCTTCTCTAGGGGACGACGCTTGTATTTTGTTTTCAGAATGAGTTGC